GGTTAGCTGTCGAGCTAACAAACCGAAGGTCGCTGGTTCGCGTCCGACGGGTTCTCACAAACTGGTTGCTTGTCTTAATGACACGTGACCTACGGCAGAGATCGTCCTCACGAGAAGTTGTGGTGCTGTATTCTAAAGGTGCTCCGACATTGTAAACACAAAAGTAAACCAAAAGGTCCACACACGTTTTTGTGTCTGCACTCTTTGACATAGAGTATGGGTACAGCAGTGCAATGTCATCAGCCGGCCGTTTCGGCTGTCTCCCATGGTAGCATCTGGAACTGCTCATTTGTGACGTCATTCGGACTTTACGTCACAATATGATTAGAATGACGTCATCTCAGCTGACGACGTAACAATACAATGGTGTGAGCGATGTCTGTATGTATTAATACGCAGCGAATTTCCGGGAATCGAATACCATTTGATCACGTTTTTCAACCAATCAGATTAAAGAACACAGTGACTTTTGGTTTACAATCTCAAATACAATATGTTTGTGCATTTTTATGGTGATGTTTTAACATAATGATTATACTGTGTATTTTTATATGTTCTCTTTAATCTAATAATTTGTCTAAATCATTGTATTGATCAGTGTATATTTTTGTATACGGAAAATTTCATCTGACAGTTAAGTGAGAATTAAACCTTCACGTCGCATTTAACATGTTTATTATAATCATGCACATTTTTCAAAAATAACCATTGGAACCCTTGTTCATGTTGATTCCAACACCTAAAGGCAAGTGTATAATCCTGTGGAAAAAGTGTATGCATAGATTTGTATTCAAAATATTTACAAATGATATGTGCAAATATATATAAATTTATTTTTTCTGTATTATTATCCCACTAAGACCCGACATTTTTACAAGCATACCCTCTAAAAACCCTCTATTCGAATGAATCAAATATGTCTTCAATTTGTATTAGAAAACAAATGCATAATAAATGGCTTTTCACATGAAGAAGAATCCAGAGGCCAAATATTAGAAGCAATGACAAACCCTCCCATTAGGATCTAAATGTTTTGCCCATGCTAATTTACTGGGCGTTCCAACAATATTTCCGCTAAACACACCAGATAACGATGTAAAGATACAGGACATAATCGGCAACATTTGCGTCATCAAATTTGCTAAAATAGATTTTCTAACGAAATTTAATTCGTGTCTCGAAACTTCTTAAACAACGTTTTCCTTCTCTGAAAGTAACGAAGGGTGTTATTCTGGTGAAGTATACTAAAGCTGATGTATCGATGCTTAAAAAAATATAAAAAATTCCCCCGTTCTTGGATTTTTCTATAGTAAATATATGGCGTATCGCTCAGTAGTGTCCGAGGTCGTATTTGTGCAGCTCATGCCAGGTTGAGTGAATAGCCAGTGCCGCCAAGCAAAGGAACTTTTAGGTTCCACGAATGTACAACGGTGTCAAAGCGTAGCAGCAGACCCCGGGGACCTAGACTAATGCTTAGTCTCTGAATATATATAATTTTGATAGTAACAAACAGACAAATTTACAAAATAGCAAATTTGAAAAGGAGCCCCAGGGAGACCAGAGATTCAGATGAGGAAATCTAGACTTGCTTTATTTAAGGCTTTAGCACTGCAGAGAGGCCTTGGCAGTAGGGAAAATAATGTGGTTGAGGGACTGTGAGACAGACTACTGGGAGCCAGGCTGGCACTGGGAAGGAGCCATTCGTCACCACTCGCCCCTTTCAGTAACCTGCAAGAAGACTCGTCCCCTTCTCGATGCTTGTTATGTGCGAAAATACGACAAACCAATCAGAACGCGCGTAAATGACTGCGGTGGTTTGGTAAAAATAATCCCGAGTACTTAAATCGTTTATGGCATTATATCATTGTTTAAAAAATCATGAAAAATATATATCGTCATATTGAAAGTACAAAGAACTTAGCTAACAAAATTTTGCTGCCTATTATGGTGTTTTTGATAAGAATCATGCGATTGACGGCAAGAGATTCAAATACACGCACGTGCGTTTGTTGACATAACGGCTCTCATGGGTCCAACTGAGGGTGTTTCTGACGATCTTGCGGGCTTGCTATGGAGATTGTACGTGCGCTTCCAACAATTTTAGGAAATGTAATTATACTGACTGACTGAGTTTGGTTTTACGCCGCTTTTAGCAATATTCCAGCAATATCACGGCGGGGGACACCAGAAATGGGCTTCACTCATTGTACCCATGTGGGGATTCGAACCCGGGTCTTCGGCGTGACGAGCCAACGCTTTGACCACTAGTAATATAAATCGCTACGAGTTTCAAAACAATAATATTATATCTGTATGTAACTAATCAACTGTAATCTTTAACATTGGGCATATATTTCAATTCTCTGAGAAAATTTTAGTCTGACCTTCTTGTGGTCATTAATATACTTTTCAGCGAATTCAGTTACAAGTCCACTTGTGGTATGACAGCAAGGTTACACGTATGTTCAGTTTGAGAAATATTATAAAAGTCATTTTTTGAGTTTCTGCTTTGGGATTTAATGTAGCGGGGTTTTTTTTAGAATTTTTTTGTGCATATTCGATAAAACAAATCCCATTTGTGATTATTAAACCCTTTTTCAGAAATATAATTGGAAATACATGTATAAGGGGAATATCTGGTAATAATTACGTCAGAATATGGGTTTTTTCTTTTAGTTGTACCAAGGAGGTTTAATTCCTTTAAAATAAATAGCAAAAACCAAAAGAGCAATACAATGTATGAGTACTTCGGTGATATTAAGTACCATTGGAATCAAACAGGAATAGAGTTATCGTTCCTGTTTGAAGTAGTTCTGATGTTCCTACGCCAATATGAAATCTCTCCAGAGGGGCACGAGTCGCTATTCGGCTTGTCCCGGAATAACACGAGTTGGTCACGCTATTCGGCTTGTCCCGGAATAACACGAGTTGGTCACGAATGGGAAGGAGCGTGTGACTTCCGGTATTGACTGGGCTCCTGTACAGCGTTAGGCTGGGACCCTTCTCTTATATCACACTTATACGAGCCGGTACAGGCCAAAGATACGATGGCTGTGAAAGCCTTCGAAATATTTGATATACACTATGTTAATATATTGTTTCGCGAGAAGAGCCATAAAATATATGACGGAGATACGTATGCAGGAAAATGATCTGTTAATACATTGGTACAGTTCATGACTGCAACATCTATCTCGCATTGAAAATGTCCCAAACGGCGTCTTTCCTCTCTGACGTCAAAAGGGTATATGTATTATAGTTGGTGGATCCAGGTGTCCCACTTAACATTGGCACAAAATCAGCAATAACTCGTAAAATGATGTTATGTTCTTTTATGGCGATATATAAATACTGAATATTATTAACATAGATGATGATGAAACTTATCCTGTAGAAACTTTGTCCCCAACAAATAATTGCTAATTCAATCCTTTCTCAGAAAAGTCACTGAAAACGATATATTCAGACCTTTTTATGTGGTTTTAAGTGGACTGAATGTATTTGATTTTCAACATTTTTAGCTTTGACCATCTATGTAACAGAATCAACGTTTTCATTGTTCAGAGCGAATATTGTGATGACGGCATAATATTTGCGGCATGGTTTATGTTGCAAACATCAAAGCTGTGGACTGTTTCGCGGACATAACTAGTTTGTGCCGCGTGTATGGCTAACTAAAAACTCAAATGAATGATAGTTCTTCATCGTCAAGCTTATTTATCATAAATGAATTCAGATATTATACACTTGATAATCGAGTTTGATATATCGACAACGCCCGATGTATGTTCAGTGTACTAAATAAATTATAGTTAGTGAAATTATCACAGGTTCTGAAATACAAATTTGAAAATCATTTGTGGCTGCATTTAGGACTCAGTTTGGGGCTTTTTATTTTGGCCCATTTGACTTTTGGCCTCGGCCCATTTGACTTTTTTTCGGCCCTCAAATGGGCCGAGGCCACAAGTCATCTAGGCCAAAATAAAAAGTAAAAGAAAAGCCGAAAAATATCAATTTCATAAATTACATAATAATATAATGTAAATAGTGTTCAGTTGGTTGTTGTTGTTATTTTAAATGGAATTTGAACATGTGACTCATTGTTTAGTGTCTTGACACAGTGTCATGACTAATCTGTACAGGATGTTTGTTGTTGTTGTTGTTGTAAGTTGGAGCGGGAGGTGGAAGATCCTCCATACACGTTGATATCGGACGGATCACAGAAATCATAACCCAAGCCGGTAGAGAGGAACGGATTCATCTACGTAATAAAGATATTGTTACATCTTAATCGTATTATATCAACCATACTATACCTGAATATTTCTATATTTGATTTTATTGTTTTTGACTTTATATTAAAGTTATTCAATTAAGTCTTTCGGGAGGTCACTCAGAATAAGATATACGACAGATGCAGCAAATGTCCCGTTAAGGCAACTGTTGCCGAGACCAAGTCCAAAAACATACCCACAGCCACACAACAGAGGAAGGCAAACTGTCATTAAATGCAAAGACATGTTGTTTTAATGCTATGTATGTCAATAAAAACTTTAAAACTTTTGTAAACTTTTTCTTGTTCGGCCCATAATATATGACTAAGAATAAGGCCATTTTGACATTTTTTCACGGCCTATTTGACTTTCACCACGGCCCATTTGACTTTGCATTTCTCGGTACTGTTGTCCTTCGGCCCATTTGATTAGATTCCCTGTAAAGTAATAACTTTTTCGTTTCGGTGTTCATGTTCTTTTAATCGCACGCGAAAATGACAGTGAAATATTACACTACACCTAGTATCCAGGGCCTAATGGCACAAAGCGACCTCAGCTCTGCGATGATCGTAACTCCCATACTCTTTCAGCACGACACCAGTCCAACTTGACCAATCCTGGCGATGTCAAATACACGTGCACATACAGTGTCCGAGCATCGGCGCAAGTTGATGCGCGTAAAGGCAGCCGGGAACCAGTTTAGAACAGCGCTGACCACAATGCTCTTCGACACACAGAGTTAAACAAGATGGCGGGAATACGTCGTCAGCTGTTTTCTAAAAATTGTAAATATGTTGATCATATCAAACCAAATTTTCTTCTCATTGTCAATCATTTATTAATCTAAATATATTTTTTGAAGTTACCCCTTAATCATCGAGGAAACCCCCACTCTGCGCGCCGATGCCATTCGGCAAACGAGAAAAGCGAAAAGAATTCAACTCGAGGATAGCTCAGCACAGAGAATTTCGTGTAATTCTCAAGGTAAATAACACGGTACATTAACTTCCACGGCATGTCAAACCCGCCAGGTGGGATGGAGTCAACTAGCCTAATGCACAGAGCGATCGGTGCTTGCATGTACCTTGCCTACTGCTCGGTCTGGTGGACAATTCTCTACGTCAATATTGTTAACATACTGTATTAGGGACCGTTCATAATTCATGGGTGCGTGTGTGTGTGTGATGATGATGAATTTTATCGAGAAGCATGTACATTGTGAATGACCCCCTCCTCAAATTTATGTACAAATTAAGTGTTCCCCCTGCATGTCATGTACAAAATCAATGATCCCCCTTCCCATAATTTCTAAGCATGATTTTCAAAGGTAAGAGTTTTTAAGTACCCCCACCTATCTTTTTCAAAAAATACAATGATATGCAAGTAATGAAAAGCACCTTATGAAATAGGCGAGGGGTGTGTAAGGAACTCTTTCATTTTTATATATTTCATGTACAAATTGCTGACCCCCTAGTACATGTGTACAAACTTGATGACACCCCCCTCCTACCTCCCCAGAACAAAATGGGTTCCCCCCATCCCCCTTAAAATCATCATCACCCCAGGGTCCCCTCCTAGCCATAAATTATGAACGGCCCCTTAGGTGCCCAGTGTCAGTTGAGGGATAGTAATTTGTGGTACAGGTTAAGACGTGTACTGCAGACGACATGTACTGCTCTCTCCTATCATACCACATTTTCTTACATGTTATGTAGAAGGTTCATGGTTGGGTTTAACTTCTAACCATATTAACATATGTGTGTACCTTTTGTGAGAAATCTAATTTTGCTGTGACTTCCGTTTTGTCAGTTCTGCTTCACATAATTAATAACCCAGCACTTATTCAGCTCTCGTTTGATTGCATGATTCAGCTCTAATTGCCTTATTGAGCGAGATGGTTGAAGGCTCATCACAGGAATTGACATTTCCCTTGTTTGTCTGAAAGGAAAACACACGTGTACAGGCCCAGTACAAGCCTTTCAGTGTACTTTGCAATGGAAAATGTTTTTGAAAATGCTATAGATTAACTTCTACCACTGTCAGCGTATTTTCTCAATTATACTCCGACCTCGTATCGTGGCATTCATCGTATCGCAGAAAATGGTATTTCCGGTTTTCCGCGTGAGACAAGCCTCCTAGCGGTGATTTGCATATGTAAATCGGCAGCCAGATGTCAGTTGCTTGTTTACATTTTGGAAACCAGCAGGATGTATCGAATCTTCGTAAGTATTATCCAGCAGTAATATTAACATTAAACTCTGGAATCTTTTGGAATCTGTACAACCCCATCCATCAGGTACCTGCTATAATATTTATGTGTCATATATGAACCTTCCACTCCATCTAAACTAGGTCACCTGCATATAATTGTTGCCATATACGATAGCAGAAGTAATGTCATGAGCTATGTTTATCTCCCGGATAATAATGTTTTTGTTATCCGTGATATGATGGAGTTCTCTCCCTTGGTAAGGATTAACTGGCTTCGTTTGACTAATGGCTATCGGTGAAAAACTATCAAAAGATAAAATGATAATTTTTTCACAAATATGTTCATTAAATGTCATGTTCATCAGATGTCCTAATAAAATAGGCCTTATAAGTTCCCAATTGCATTTCAGATTACGGATATACCAAGTACCGCGATAGAGCAAAGTTGCAGGCTAAACATTTCTTGGCATTCAGTTATCTTAATGTGTGGACTCGTCCAAAATGAAACACATGAATGAGCTGAAAGATTTGAGGAGGGTACAGGCAAGTGTGTTTGTTCAAAATTGCCTCTGTTCACCCAGCAGAAATGGGTACTCCGTGGGATAAAGTCATGTGACTATAACCCTCTAATTCCTAACAGGCAGCTTGGGCTATCCGGGGTAATAATAATCAGATTGTTTGGGCACAATGTGCATGATAAGTGGACTATTATTATGTTTTACAGATTAATATGAAAATGCAGCAGAGAGAGAGTTTAGGTGATACTGGCGACCCGTGAAGGTACTGGTTGGAATGAACCTTCAGTAACCCATGCTTGTCGTAAGAGGCGACTAATGGGATTGGGTGGTCAGGCTCGCTGGCTTGGTTGACACATGTCATCTGTTCCCAATTGCGCAGATCAATGCTCATGCTGTTGATCACTGGATTGTCTGGTCCAGACTCATATATTTACAGACTGCCGCCATATAGCTGGAATATGGCTGAGTGCAGCGAACTAAAACTAAACTCTCTCACTAGGTATTCCTGGCACAGTGAGGCTTCAGGGTTTTACATGAGGCATGATTCCTGGGTATTTGACGCAACACTTTTGTAAAGGACTCTCAAATTATTATAATATGAGTCAAGCTTGATGCATGTTTTATCAGTGACCCTGAGAATTCAGTTCAATAAAATTGATTTGATAAGCAAACAATGATAGTTTTCGATGATAGTTTGATTTTGAAAGAGCTGTCAGATTGTTCCAGAGAACTCAGAGGAGACAGTAATCCTGGCTGTTTCAATTGAACTACACTGTAGTTGCATTTAGTGGTGTGACATACACAGTCACATACTGAGAATGATTAAAACAAATATCATGCCAATTAAGTGATTCGTGGGGACTCACCTTTGCAAGTGATAACTTGTCACAAAGTTCACAAATGTTGTCAGTTGTCAGTAAATAGACTTGCTAAAGGTCTTCATCAGATGTTTCTTTCAGTTCATGTTAATAACTGACAATTACAGTGAATAAATCACAAGTGTGATTATTTGTTCAGTATACTGGTGTTTGTTCTGATTTAACTAAACAGTAAAAAAATGTACTATTTATTAACAAACCATATAAATGACAATACAACACAAAACAACAAAATCTTGGCAAAACTCTTACTTTTTGATTTACACAAAGAAATATTACACTAAAATTTTCATGACTCCCAAATATTTAAAATGACTCCCCAAAATGAATACTATGAATCACCATGACTCCCATTTTTCAAAGTCGGTGTAAAACCCTGAGGTATGTAAGGCTCATCATCAACTCAGGGCCCTTGTCATCTGTAGATGCAGCCCAGACAGTGAGTGGGGACTTCTCCCAGGAAACGCTGCCCAGTCAAACCCACCTAGAACTTTCTGGAGAATATGTAGGTACCAACTATGGGAGAGTCTGACTACAGTGTACTTGGGATGCAAGCGAGTCATTTCAAAGGTGATGTCTGCATATTCAGCATGCTTTTCTTGAATCTTACCAATCACACTTCTGTCAAAAGGGACAGAAAATTAAGTGATATAAATAAATTCATTAGCTTTATCAAAAAGGACAAAATCAGGTTTGTTGGCTGGAATTCTTCTGAGGCTGTTTATGGGCCTTATCCAAAGAAGTTTAAAAGCATCATTTTCCCTGATGCCCTGGACATGTTCAGGGTCGTACCATGGATGGACCAAAGAGTCAAAGCCACAGGCATGGCAATAGTAGATAGTAGAGGCAACGAGTCATGCCATCATGTCATTTAAGGTATGCTGTTTGTGCCAAGGAAGGGCATCCACTGACAAGGTGTTGGACAGTCTCTGTAAATGCATTGCGAAGTCAACATTTCATATTGATATGTTCTTTAAAAATCACATTTAGGCGATAGCGAGTAGGGAGTGACTGGTCCTGAGCAGCAAAAAGAAAGCCCTCAGTTTCACATTTAAGACCAGATGACTTCATCCAGGCAAAGGAGTCGGTTGGATTGCTATTCTGTTCCACACACTGCATCTACACACAATGCAATGGTTTCTCAGAAAACGTCTCCACAAATGACCTACTCTGGGCAGACTTGGTGAAGGACTTCACCTGGTTTACTCCCATCGCTGTACCATCCAGCAGTACATTGCCATCAACAAAATTAACCTCAAATTTCAGATTCTGTCCAACAATCTTAGCACGTTTACAATAGCTGTGGAATTCCTTGCTTTCATCATGAGTCTTAACATGCATATGTAAACAATTGAGAGAGGAACAAGGGTGGTGGGCTCTGTTATCAGACATGATCCTTCTGGTCAGGCGGTCAAGGCTCTGGATGCCCTGTTTTGCCCAATCAACTACTCCAAAGGAATAGGAAAGAACTGGCACACCAAAAGTATTGGTGGCTTAGACCTAGTTTCGAGCATTGTGCTCTGAGCTCCAGATTTTCTTTAAGCGGGTTTTATACTCAGCCCGAAGTTTGTCTTGAATTTGGAAATTCTGGAGCTTGTCTCGAACTTCCAAGATTGGTGTAGGCCTGATCTTCCACAAGGCGCTCAATAACTCTCCCCCTTGTGACTTGACCGATCCATCATTTATGAACTTGCCACGTTTCAAATGAAGAGTATTACATTTGTTGGGGCCAAATGTCATGCCTTTTCATTAGAAAAGGACTCGACAAGGAGAACCTGTTCTTTCAAATTGGTATCTCCTTTTATTATTATTATAACAGTGGTACTCAACTGGCTGCAGGGACCTCAAGGGAGAGCAGAGAGATTGGCTTCATTTGACCAGTGAAAGACGTAATAAAGCTGTCAATAAATAGTTTTTAACTCCTCAGTAGTGAAAACACTAGCTTTCTCTCCAGTTTGCATCCCCGGAATAACAGGAATTTTTCGTCCTGAATGAATACCAGTTGTATTGCTTACAGTTGTGTTGTTATGTACATGTTCTGCACAAAATACCTGGACATGCAACAAGGAATATGTTAACAAGAGTACATAATTTTAAGATTTCTTTAATTAGCTTAATTGTAATCAGTGAATATTTATGTATATGTTCAGAAACTATAATTACACAAAAGTATTCAGTAAAGTTTTATTAAATAAAAAATGCTTCAATGCAGGTAACACAACCAACCTAAAGTATTACTCAAGTCAGGAACACAGACATGATGATACTCAGATACTGGTCACTGGAAGTGCTAATACAGAGGAAGGGAACCAGTCAATACAGATGAAAACTAATGTTATGGAAATAAATAGGACTATTTTGTTGTATACTTGTTGCAATATTGTTGCCTATTTGTGGAATGTAATTAAAACAGGAGTCAGAAGTAGGCAGTCGTCTGTTGAAACCTGCATAATGCCACAAATACCGCTAGAACCTGTGTTACGAGAAGATTTGTATATTTGAAGTAGACTACACCAATAACTTTTTATAGGTTTACTCAATGTACGTTTTAAAACTTAATTTGGTCAAGCATTGTTATTTAAGTATGAATTGCTTGTGTTGTTTTAAGATTATTGCTCTTAACAGATCAACTGTAGTAAATGTACTTTCTACTTGGTGTCCTGACACCATGGAAAATCCCCTATATTATGCCATTTTCAGGTGAAAAGAAAACATAGTTTGACAAGTATAGCGTGTTTTTTAAGGAAAAAACAATGCCAAAATCACAAATACATTCGTATATGAAGATTCTTAGAGTACAGAAACATTCATGTCTGTATGCCATTGACTCAAAGCATTGCAAAGACATGTAAATGGCCAATAATATAAGTGATGGTATCTCTTATAGTCTGTCAACTTTCTGGGACTGCATGTTTTGCAAATATCGTTTCGGTTATTTGTTTCAAAGTAAAGTGTTGACATGTATCTTCATGTTTCTCCGTGACTTAACAGGAACCTATTTTTAATGTCACGGCGATTGCCTATTAAGAAAGTTACCTTTGTAATTATTTTTTCATGATTGTTTTGATCAACTCAATCCGGATGTGGGTTCAATTGATGTACTGTCTGACAGGTGACCTAACCATGTGTTTCACATGCATGACCTTGGGTCAGATTTACTCTTGTGCCACCAAACGACCAAGCAATCGATCACATTTCCTCATAATTAACCACAAATTATTATGGAACAACTAGTTTAGTGTTTGAAACACTTGACAATGGAACATATCTTAGAAGTTGTGAGGGCCTAAAAACTCACTTCACTTGCTGAAATGTCATGACTGAATATTTCTTGAATCTGGGAAGTTTATGTTCTTGATATATTAGTCAACTCTTTAAAGTAGAAAGTTTCATCATTTTACATTGGGAGTTTCTAAATAAAACAAAAAAACAGAATCACATGGTTTTTTTATATATTTATCTGCAATAACAACCTGAACAGAAAAATCTGAAAAATGCCGCCAATCAACTTTTTTCGATGATTGCTCATTGGTAATGAAGCAATCATCAGTTGTGAGACTTCAACCAATTCCCAACACTAGAGATGAGTGGTGTGTGTTGTCTTGTGTCAGTGTTGAGAGTTCTGTTTCACAGCATTGATTGGTAACTGTAACTTTTCATGACAGTGATTAGGGGTTTGTGTCACTATGGTAATGTGTTTCCTTGTTCGTCCATCAGTATGAATACATCCGATGCTGCCCATGCAAGATTTCTGGCCTCCTTGCCACCACCTGACCCCATTCTGGCCCAACTTCAAACCCTGTCACAGCAATACACGCCACCTGTCACCATGGCATCACCAGTGGTGCCTGTCGCAGACGATGAGGTTGGGCAGATGACAGAGGATGGACTCCATGAAACTGTCAGGTGAGATAATTAAATTCATAGTGAGAAGACTCTCTGCATTCATCTTGGTATTGTAGCAGTGCAGTACTCAAGAGGTATTTATAAGAATTGATGTAAAGCATAGAATTAATCTGTACTGAGTTTTGCATAAATCACAATCAGTATTAAATTTTTCAGCATATACTGAAGAATGACCTGCATACTAGTACTTACTGCTGGTGATATGCATGTAAAAATAGTGTCTACATCAGAGATGATAGTTGATACCAATGCGGTCTGTTTCATAGTTGTCATAGCTTTAATGTATGAATTAAGTTTGAAAGTAATGAAATATGGATCAACCTTTTTTTGCTGAATCAATATTTTGCAATAATTTTAACTGGTTTGACAGCATGCTCACTGTGCAAAGCCTACTGGGGGATCAAGGAACGAGAAGCTGAATATCATAGCAATAGATACACAGTTAGGAGCTACTGCTTTGGCACACTCCGGCGCAGTGATGACTTAGCATAACATCACTGCCACAGGCTAATTTGCATATCACATGACCGGACTTTTCTCTTGTTTGTAAACAAACGCACATATTCATAGTAAGAAGAGACTGGCCTTACGCAAGCTTTTTGGCGCACTCTTCACAATGTGTTACATTGTTCCATATATATTCTTCCACAACTGCAACAGTAACATTTATGACAGTACATATATAGATATCAAACTGGTTGCATCGTTTGCTCTCCGTCGGCTTTGAAGACAGCACGTGGAGCTGTATAACCTATGTAAACAAAAGATCGCTACGCAAATCGAAATAGTGTTACATGTTTTAGAATATTTTCTCAGTGAAACTAAACCATTCTATCAAAGATGTTTAATTAGATGTGTAGCCTCATAAAAAATAAAAGAGTTAGGAAATATGTAGATTATATTGAATGGACGGTGCAAGATGTGACGAATCGTCACATCATTCTGGCCTGTGGCAGAGGTTCTATGCTGGCTTGCCGCATGGAAATCTGGGTAGGAGAGTGCTGCTTTGGCACACACAGAAAAGTGACATACCCCTCCCTTGCACATTTATGGCTTATGTTTTGGCAGGAATATTCTATCTTCATTTGGATTGGTTGATAGCTGAAAGTATTGAAAATAGGGCTGGATATTGCCCTGATTCTCATATTGCGATATATTGCAATAATTTAAGAGATCACATGTGACCTCCAATAACTATGATCCTTGGCTAGAACGTCATTATACAGTCCTACCAAATTTATAAGACTTAGGCCTTTGTGATAAATTGAGAAAATATCTCCCATTATGAAAAGAAAAAAAAAACCAGGCAGTATATAAATTTATTATATTTTTCCTTATCATGACTCATGCTCTTTTGCTTGTCTTCTTCTTCTTGCGAACACAGTGGAACACTTGTATCTCCCAATTGAAGCTCCCTTCAATGTAAAATCACTAATTAGTACTCACCAAGAGTTATCTCTATCCCACTCCTTTGCGCGGGAACGAGGGTGCCACTTCTGCCTTTATCCAATTCTGCCGTTGATAAATATTTATTATGCGTCTTGAGACGCGCAGCAGATAGGTCACGTAAACAGATTTTAGCCATGGCTAATACACCAGAGTCCTTACCCTGTCAACTGTTGTCGGACGACCCCCTCCCGTCTGGTGTTCCGCTAGAGTTACCCTCGGAGGAGAGGTGTGGGACGCAGTCCGCTACCTCAAGAAGTGACCTGCATCCCCGGACATTCCGTCGTCGCAGCCAAAGACTAGGAGGGCTTCCACGTCGTCACAACGCAGACTCCGCTCCCCCAGGGCTACATCCACGTCGCAGGGGAAATCATCGAAATCCAGCAGTACTTTCTCAGCCGAGATTGTTCCCGTTGCAGAGATGGGCCTGTTTGATGATGATGATCCGATCATCATTCCAGATGTACGGCGGAAGAAGCGGCCAGTGTCGGCAACTATAACATCAGCGCAGATTAGCACGCAGGCTGAGGCACCTACGCTGATGTCAGAGAATCGTCCTGAGGGTCCCGTCGCTACCATCGTAGAGAAGGCAGCAACTACTTCAGCGCAGACCGTCCCAGACGACCTGATGAACAACATCATGAAGATGATGGAAGATCGCTACGGTCTTCGGAGGCCTTTAGAGCCACGGGCGACCCAGCCCACCCCCATACCTCCGTGTAGGGCGACCCAGCCCGTTTGCACGTCTCCGCGTAGGGAGACCCAGCCCGCTAGCGTGTAGGGCGACCCAGCCCGTTTGCACGTCTCCACGAAGGGCGGCCCAGCCCGTCGCTAAGCCTCCGCGAAGGGCGACCCAGCCCGCCTGCACGAAGGACCCCGATCCTAAGCAGTCACGGAAGGCTTCACGGAGGATGTCTGTATCACCTACGTCGGACCTTGATGAGAGAGAACGTTCGCGAAGCAAGATCCTCTCATCCCATGATTCCGACTCAGACTCTCAACCTTCACGAAGGTTAAGTGGCTCCAAGTCATCCTCATCTAGAAGATCATTAAGAGAGTCACCGAGAGCTTCGCCAAGCTACCAGCGTTTGCCAAGGAAGTCTCCGCGAAGGTCACCTTATAGACGCCACTCGTCAGTCCGTTCACCACATCATTCCACTCGCCGATCTCCTTATCGATCGCCTCATCGATCACCTTGTCGATCCACGTACAGATCATCAAGGACTCCACCTCAGTCACTATCGGAGGAGCGTCAACACATTATCTGTGACCCGATGTCTGAAGATGAAGATGGTATCGTATTTTCCGGCCTTAGAAATAAGATATTGGATGGTGAATAGTCTGGAACTTTCCTCCCTGTCTAAGAACGAGAACTCAGCCCACACATATCTTATGAAGGAAGACGATGCTGACACAATCACCTTACCCCCGATTGACCCGATAGCAGCGGTGCCAGCTAATCTGGATACAGCCTTTAGTAAAACCACGAAATCACAGACACCTCATGTGCCGCATTTCAACGCTAACAAGTTTGCAGGTCACAACATGGACTCTTTTTACAAGGCACAAGATATCAATGATAACTATAAGATGATCAGGGATGCCAAGTCCAAGACTTACAGAATAGATGACCGCAAGCTAGCCCAGATGGAAACCATATCAAGGAGGATGTTTTTTGGTCTGAACAGATCAAGAACAGTCGACGAAACTCTCCTCACGAAGTTCAGAGACTCTACATCTGAGGATGATAGAATGATTTACTCGGCCCTCCTCATGCAGAAGAAGGACCAGCAGTTCCTTACGGATCACTTAACAGCACTATCCGCAGCTACTACTATGGCTCGTCGTCAAGGTCTCCTCGCCACCTGTAATTGGGGTGATCACTTCACCGCACCACTCTACACAGCCCCCGTGGTCTTCACCGTCCATCTTCGATGGTAACATAGACAAAGTCTCTAAAGAAGTCTCTAAAGACTCAAGAGAGGTACTCATGATAAAGTCTATGGATACGCTAGCAAGCGTCATCAGACAAACTTCGCAGAGGCCCATACGGCAATTACAGAGGAGCATCGGGAAGAGGCAGGTCATCCAGAGGCTCCCGCAATTATAAACGATGAAGGACAGGTTCGGAACGACTGGAGTCTTCCACCCCCAGCCGTTCCAGTACTACCATCTCAAGTGGGTGGACGCCTTCAACTTCACTGGGAAAACTGGGGATTCCTAGAGGATCCATATGTCTCCAACATCCTACAGCACGGACATCGCATACAACTACAGGCCACGCCGCCCGCTGACAGTCATCCCTCCGAGGTTCGACTTCCAGGCTCTACAACTACCAAAGTTAAGAGAAGCGGTATCAACGCTCCTAACCAAGCAGGCCATAGAAGTACTGGACCAAGTAAACATCGAACCAGGCTTCTACTCCCCAGTTTTCCTAGTGCCCAAGAAAAATTCCAAAGAAAAGTTTCGTCTCATCTACAGTATGAGCACGTTCAACAGAGACTATCTACGCAAACCGCCAGCGTTTCGCATGATACACTTACCACAACTACGGCACTTAATTCGTCCCAGAGACTACATGGCCAGCATAGATCTGCAAGACGCATATCTACACATCCCAATACATCCCGACTCCAGGAAATACCTTCGGTTTACACTAGATGGGCTGCATTACCAATGGAAAGTACTACCTTTCGGAATCTCATCGGCCCCCTGGTTATTCACAAGAGTGACGAAACCTATCGTCTCTTACCTACATCGTCAAGGTCTACGCAGTGCATTCTACCTCGACGGCCGGGATACAAGTGGATCCAGATCCACAGCGTCTCAGACTACAGTTAAACTTCATCATCAAGCTACTAACACAGCTAGGATGGTTAGTAAATCTACTCAAGTCGGACCTAGAACCTACGCAAGATCTGCAATTTCTAGGCATTCGATTTCTCACAGCGCAGAATCGTATCGTCGTAGCGGAGGACCGATGGATCAAGATCCAACAGATAACCCCTCAAGCCTTACTCTCTCCGCTACCACTCGACAATGGCAGAGCCTGTTGGGTCTACTCACGTCAGCTCAAGACATGACAGTCAGAGGCAGACTACAGTTCGTCCGTTACAGGTCCTCATTAACTCTCATCTCGGCGACCCTCAACCATTCAGTCTACGAATCACGTCAAACCTCACCTACTGTGGTGGACCAAGAGATCGAATGTTTGCGATGGAATCTGTTTAATAGAGCGGAATTGAAAACACATCTCTATGTAGACGCGTCGCTCCAAGGTTGGGGAGCACACCTCGCCAACAGGACGGCATCAGGGTTATGGAGCCAACAAGAGAGCAAACTACACATAAACTTGCTAGAAATGCAAGCAGTAGTAAACGCCATACATCATTGGAGCAACTTACTAAAGAATGCCAAATTGATGATTCACACAGACAATTCAACAGTGGCGTTTTATGTGAACAAACAAGGCTCAACCAGGTCCCCGAACCTATTGACTCTATGTTTTCAATTGTTCGATCTAATAGACAATCTCAACATACATGTCAGAGCAT